CAATCCTGAACTCAACCTGTCTCTCCGGAGGTATCCCATGCAAATCCTCTGAGAATACATACGGGTACTCTCGCACGAATGGTACGTCATCGACTGTCGCCTTACCCTTATCCCGGGTATCCATGACATAGGCGACATAACATGCACAACCCTACTGAAGGTAGCGCCTCGCTCTCGCTGCTAAACATAGAGTCGGTCCACCCTGCTCATATGACCAGTTCGACCACACTTGAAGCAGCCCGAACTCCCCGCCCTACACACCGCCTCGTGCATCTTGCCGCACTTGCCACACCGGCTGCGACCCTGTTGGCTCCTCGATCTGTGATCTGATACCTTTGGTTTCTTGCCCGAACTACCTGTCTGAACCCCATCTGGTTTCCTCTTCCTCTCCATCTCCAAATCCAGCTCCATCTCCAGAGCCCTAGCAATCATATCCTCCAGCGTCTTGCAGCTGGATCGGCTCACAAACTGGCGGATATCACTCCGCAGCATCTCATGATATCGGACCTTTTTCATCTCCTCGTCCGCCACGTACTGCGGAACGAGAAGGGCCCTCTCCGTGAACATAGCAGTGATCTCGGCCACCGTCTCTGTAGTTTGCTAAAGGTCATGGAACTCCCTCGCCAGCTGTTGCACCTCAATCATAGGTGTAAACTCGGCCCTGAACCTGGCCGAGAAATCACTCCAAGTCATCGCATCAATAACGACATCATCTCCAATAGATCTCCCAACCTCCTCCCACCAATCTCGTGCCATGTCCTTCAGGAGGCAGGAATCAAGTCGAACCTTGTCCCCCTCGGGACATCTGCTGGTGCGAAAGGCGTTGGCGACATCTGCCAACCACCTGCGGCTAGCAATGGGGTCCCGAGCCCCATGATAGTCGGGAGCTCCACATGCTCTGAACTCCCTGAATGTTAGTGTACGCAACCCCATCATGGGCGCCACCTCAGTGCGGAATGCACTCAGTCTCTCATCCAAAAGCTCCAATATACCCTCCTTGATCGTATCGAAGATCACAGTAGTCTGGTCTAAAATGTTGTGCATAACCTCAGATGAGATGAACTCTCTCATTTGCTCGTCTAACTGCCCGGCTCCAGAGCCCGAGCCTGACCCCTCACCAGCGCCTGAAGTGCAAACTGGTCTAGTGTGTAGCGTCACCATTCTGAAAATACACCATAACAAATATCAGAATACTCATCATAACTCGAGGGATCACACACACTACAAGTTCCCTGGATTCATCTCAACCTTTCTTGATTCGAGTACGGATCCTCTACTTTCAGTAGTTAGGGCCCATACTACCTTCCACATCTATCCGTACTTTCCTTAAGAACTGTCGTGACTCCATCAAGTCCCTTATACTACTACTGCTGATCTCATGCTAATCTCATCCTAGGCTTGCCCTAGGGTAATCACCAACCCACTCTCCGCCATCAGCTGCATAAGAAGTCTCTGTCATCTTCCCCTAACTAGCTCGCGAATACCATTGCATATCACTAAGACCAGATAATTCTTCAAATGAGAGGTCCTACCCTACAACGGTTAGACTCAAACGAGAGCTGGGAAATAAGGCTAAACCTAACCTTCTGAAATTATTTAGTCATCGCAATATGCAACTTAACATATTTATTTACTAGTTATTTAAAGATAACTAGAACTCCTAAAAGCACAAAGCAATCAACATTTGAGCATCGAGTAAACATAATCAAGCATATCCTAATCAGGCCATCATATCGCTGACTAATCTGTACTAGCATGCAGTTCATAAAGCTCATACACATATAACAGGAACATAAGGCATCCTTCCTAGATCCTTAGCCCTAATCTAGCATGTAGTTCTCATAAACACATCATAACATAAACTTGTATGGGTAATTTGGGAGTACTTACTTGAGCTCGGTTGATTGCATGCACCACACCCTTTTCTCTTTTTAAATTCTTTTCAAAATTCTTTTTATAAAAATGATTTTCTTTTGAAAATTATACCAAGTCCTCAGTTTAAGTCCAGACACACCCGAGAGTGTGTCCGAATCCCTCAAAGCAAGGCTCTGATACCAACTTGAAACATCCCAAAATACAGTCCAAAAATTTCATTTTATATCATTAGGAAAACCATAAGTCATCAAGCATCATATAAAAACCATAAGTCATGTATCTCAAAATGTCATAACATCTGTCAAAATATATCAGAGTATAAACATCGCAGGCTAACAAATGGTGTGTGCAGTGCAATCATCCCGAGCTCTTCCCCTAGCTACCGAAAGTACCTGAAACCAAAACTAAAAATTGTAAGCATGAATCTTAGTGAGTCTCCCCAAACTACCACATACCATACACATAAACACATATAACATACATTGGGCCCCGCCCTGCTACATCGGGAACTTCCCGACATTGGCCTTGTCCGGCATCGGGCCCCGCCCGGCATCAGACCGCATCCGACATCGAGCAAAGGTCGGCATACATAAGATCATAACTACTATTACACATAATATGAGCTTAATCACCTAATCAGAAACATATAAACGTTCCTCGGGCCCCGCCCGACATCAGACCGAAATCCGAAAAGCATACAACCATTCATCGGGAACCACCCCGGCATCGGACCGTAGTCTGGAAGCATACAGATACAAACACATGCAAGAATCACAAAGACATCAAGCATACTAACATTCTTCGGGTACCGCCCCGACATTGGATCAAAACCCAAAAAGCATATAAAACCTTCATTGGGCCCCGCCCGGCATCGGACCTTAGTCCGGAACATACTAACATACATAAACGGGCCGACCTTAGTGCCTTTGACCCGTTCCTACTAGAAGAAAATTCACCTCGCAAGCTATCTGTGAAATCTCGTGTGAGGAATCTCTGACGGCTGCTCCAACGATTCCCCGACTATCATTATCACAATAACACTTAGTCAAAGTCTGATAATCCTTCTTAGGGTAAAATGATCATTTTACCCCTGGTCAAAGTCAACATTCTGGTCAAAGTCAACGTTCTGGGTTGACTCAACTCGCCGAGTTCTATAAATCAAAAACCCAGAAATCACGATCCAACTCGTCGAGTCATCCCCCCTGACTCGCCAAGTTCCCTGGCTACTCATAGTCGCGATTGGGCGATTCTACTCGTCGAGTCCCTTTGCAGTCTTGTCGAGTTCTACCTTGTATAAAATCGGGACAAATCGACACAACTCGTCGAGTCCCTCTCTAGACTCGCCGAGTTCCTCAGTCTGTTTGGGCCATCTTAAAGGATTAAGCCCCTACTCTTCAGATCTAAGCTTCTTGTTTCTCATATACACTGAAAATGTCTTTTTAAGGGTAAAGTTTCCAACTTTACCCACTAATACCTCCATTTGACGGTTTTAGCTCAAACCCTAAATCTTTAAGACTTAGATCTTGGTCCACAAGTCATCCGTACTCCAAACTAAAGCATACAAACAGAGATCTAGGCCTTAGACATCATTTGAACATGTAAAGCTTCTGCCTTTTCCTCCATGCATGGCCTTTTGGGGCGTAGAAGGCCAAAATGACATCTTAGAGCTTGCATGGGGCTCCAATGGCATAAAGTTTGCACCTTTATGCCATAACAGCCCTTCAAGGTCCTAGATCTGGGAGAATACCCACTTGGGTCGTCCATTTCCCAAAAGCTAACATTCTTGGACCAAAAACCCCATAAAAAGTGAAATGAAGAGATCTAAGAAATCATTAAGCAAGTTTGATACTTGCTTACCCGAAAATGCTGCAAATGAAGTGTAGTTTCTGGATCTACTCTCTTCCTCTTGAGCCATCTAGCTTCCTCTTCTTCCACAAGCTTCAAAAGCACAAGTTTTCTTTCAAAAAGGTCTCACAATCTCACACAAGGCTCTAGGGTTTCGTGGTTAGGGTTTTGGGACTTGGAGGCTGTAAATGAGGTTGGAATAAGGGGATTAAGATGCTTAAATAGGGTGCAAAACTCCGCAATTAAGGTTTCACTCTGGCAGTCCTACTCGTCGAGTTGAGGCTCGCAACTCGTCGAGTAGGTGACTTAAAATCCCGCGTCAATTCTGGTTTCTACTCGACGAGTTTGGGGCTCCCAGCTCGTCGAGTTGCTCTACATAAATGAATAAAATATAATTAAATGCGTACCAGGAACCAGACGTTACATATTTAAATGTAGCACTACCAAAAAACCAATGGACACCAACAACGTTTATGGGGAATAGAACCTGCAAACAAAAAAAATAAAATAGTCGTAAATTCATTAATATTATATATATAAATAAATAATTATTAAACTTAACTAACCATATCCACATCCTTCCATTTAGGATAACATCCAATACCATTTGCTACATTCCTAAAAAAATGATTTTTCGGGTTGCAAATTGAGTTCTTGAGGGTATATCGGCCACATTGCATTCGCCGGTCGTCTTTCCATGAGCAAGCCACTCCATATCGCAATATGATGTACATTTTAAGATAAAAATGTTACAATTATTTATATAAATTATCGTCTAAAAAAGTAGTTAAAATTTAACGAATTTTATCGAAGAAATTAACCACCCAGAGTTAGTAACTGCAAGTAACCTTGACCAAAACTCCACATCTAGTGGGAGTATATGCATCCTATGTGTAGTGTTGAAGTTGGAAGAGATCATATTTCATTCTTTCCAAAAACCTAACGTACTAGCAGCATAAAGACTATCTAACAGTAGATGATTTGAAACATCATTACTATCTTCATTCACAATGTCTTCATTTGCTTTTTCAGGACTCTCCACTGTTTTTTTCCTTGCTTTGGTGATTTTCTTCAATTTTGGTGTGGATTGCATCTAAAAAAATTAAAATGTTAAATAATTATCAATAACGTAATATTTTATAAATACACCAAATTTAAAATATGAGTTTTGTACCACTATGAACGGCGTAGACTAATACCATGCAACACCCCTCTTTCATTGCAGCCTAACAATAGGAGTCACTATTTTTTTGTGATGTTCACCCACGTCTGGTGACGGCTCAACATGCGTAGGTGTAAGCCCAACTTCCCCCCTCCAAACCATGCGTAGATGTATCATCATAATCCAACTGTGGACCATGGTAATATGTTTCTTCCTCCTCTTCATTTACCATGTCCTCCTCCTCTCCAAACCATGTATCTGGTTCATCTTTAATCTGTAATACACGGTCTACTTTAGAAGTTAAGTCAGCCACAACGCCTATTAGACGATTCACCAATGTCTTTGTGCTCATCTTCTTCTTCTTTACCGACCTTGTTGATGTGTCACTTGACATATAAGTTTTTTCTACTTCAGACTGTTGCAAGGTAGAAGCATTTGTGGCAGTTTCAGTCGAAGATGTTTTCGACTTGTACTTCTTTCTTCGAGGAGGCGAGGTAACAATAGGTGGACTATGTTTCCGTGAGGGGGACTCTTCATGGTTAAGAGTCCAATTGACATAACGAAAATAAAACGACAACATGAGCTCTGTCTCGTTTGTCACAATAACAATACTGGGTTGCCTCATTCGTATATAATACCGGGTTGCCTCTGGGAACGTCTCCAAAATCCATATCTTAGAAAAAGGTAAGTATAATGCTATTATAGTATAAAACTGAAAGTACAACGGTATTATATAGTACAAACGAAAGTACAATGCTATTATCGTATAAAAAACTAAAGTATGATAACTATTTAAATGCATTAGAAACTACCTTAAACGGAAGCATAAACCAACAACGGGATACTTGTATATTTTCTTGGATTTGGGATTGACCTGCTTGAATATTCTAAAATTTTCTATTTTTTCAAACATTCCACGCATCAACCCCGAAGTATAGGCCCAGAAATATGTACCCCATGCAAACCTGCAATTTTCAATTTATTTATTATAATTATTATTGTATTTATACACAAATTTTAAATGTAATACCTGTTACAATCATCTATATTATCAGCAAGCTTATATATTGCCGCGAGAATGCCCGTTTTAACGTCCCGTCCGTGGAGACCTTTCAACATAAAAACAAGATGGATAAGCATTACAACATCTTCATCCTGAAGTGCCAAATAATTCAGAGACATAATGTAGTCTTCTAAATCTTTGAGCCGCAAACGTGCATCTGTAATGTCTGGGAACAACCGAGCACGAAGATTTGAATTTGACCGACCTCTTTCTTCATGGAGTAAATCCACATAAGGACCAACTCTTAAACCACAAATCAAAATATATTCAGTTTCACCAAAATCCAACTGCATCCCGTGTATCTCAAAAAGAAATCTCCTCATTTCAAACACTTGTTGAGACCTTACTTAATGCAACATCAACAAATGCACAAGTAAGGGTCACCATTGGGGACATGCATTCCTAAGAATCTTCCAAACGGTGAAGCTTCAAATAATACTCGTTGCGATTGTGTTAGGCGCGGAAAACAGTCTTTAATTATCGTACCGACCACGCATTTTAAAGTTAAATCTGTTTTTTGATCGAGATCATCGTGCTACAAAACATATACATTTAATTTAATATAAAACGTTAGTAATTGAAAATAAAAAACAAGGTTTCAAAATTACTTTTCTAATTCGGTTTATGAAATAAATAACAACGTACTTTTTATTTAATAAATAATTGATATAAAAGGGGAAAAAATACATTTAAGGTCATTCTGCAGAGGAAAAAAGGCATTTAAGGTCATTCCGCGGAGGTTAGAGGTCATTCCGAGGAGGTCCCTCTGCGGAGTGACCTACCCCTCCGCGGATTGGATTCGCTAATTCAAAACCAGTTAATCCTAAATCTAAATCTATACATATTGAAGGTTATCAATTGCATTTTCGTAACATTTGAATCTTAAATATATACAATACGACATTAATCCAAAGAGGGAAACGTGAAAAATACCCGGGATCTGTATCCATCGGAGAAAATATTGGGAAAATTGCACTCCATCGGTGCCGGATTTTGCTGGTTCAAGTCGTTGTCGCCGGAAAATGACGTCGTTGAACTTGTTGTCACCGGGTTTGTACTCGTTCTTGCTGGAAAATTGATAAAATCTACCAATGCGGAGACACAAACAACAAATCGAAGTGGAAGAGGAATCGGGGGACCAGTGGGAGAACAAAGAGGAAACCCATTTTTGTCAAAGAGGGGAAGAGGGAAATTACGAAAATACCCCCACTCCGCGGAGCCCGTAGAGAGTTCTCCGCGGAATCAATGTCTATAATCGGAAAGATCTGTTTTTGTGACTAAATTTTGAAATACCCAAAAATGTGATATTTTCCCTTTAAATATTCTTGTGATGAACTCTTTATTCAAACTTATTTCCTTGAAATATAAACCAACGGAATAAGAAAATAAAGTGTTCAAAATAAAGATATAAAATAACCCAACGTAATCAATAACGCGTGTACGTCCTTTTCGTTGTTTATTCAAAACAATCCAACGGTTCTCATTTGCTTGATCATTGATATTACTTCACATCATCAAATTGCATTGTGCATTTCCTAGAAAAGATCGTCTAGAAAAGATCGTGGACTTCATCTCGATACTCGGTTTTTCTTTCTATATATTCCTTCATCCCCAAATTCTGAACTTGATTTCAAATTAAGCAACTACCCATGGCGGACAGATCGTTGGAGCTCACACTAATATCTGCAAAAGGACTCAATAAAATCAATCTCGTCGGAAAAATGGATGTTTACGCCGTTGTTTACATCAGCGGCGCCGGGAATCAAGATCAGAAGCAGAAAACCCACGTTGATAAGGATGGAGATTCAAATCCTACATGGAATTATCAGATGAAGTTTAAGATCGATGAATCTGCTGCGTTACAGAACCGATTGACGCTTGTTGTTAAGATCAAAACCGAAGGGATGTTCGGCGATAAGGATTTGGGGGAAATTCATGTTCCGATCAAGGAGCTTCTCGATGGCGCGTTGACCGGAGGTAAGCCGTTACAGTTTGTTAGTTATCAGGTGAGGAAACCCTCAGGTAAGCCAAAAGGTGAACTCAGTTTTTCGTATAAGGTTGGGGAGAAACCCGCCGGCGTTGGTAAAGTGGACGAACCAGTAACGGCTTATCCTGCCGGAAAACCTAATAACGTGGATGAGCCTGTGACGGCTTATCCAGCGGAGAAGCCTAACAAGGTTGATGAGCCTTTTACCGCTTATCCAAGTTATCCCGGAGCGAAGCCTAATAAGGGCGATGACGCTGTTACAGCATACCCTGCGGTTGCTTCTGGATCTAGTTCGATGTATCCACCGCCTTATGCGGCGCCATCTGGTGCATCTTCTGGACCTTACCCACCACCCGCCGCCGCTGCTTCCGGACCTTACCCACCACCCGGTGGTGCTACTGGATACCCACCAGCCGGAGGTGCGTATTATCCGCCCCCTGCCGGATACCCTCAACCACAGACTGGATACCCTCAACAACAGGCTGGATACCCATATCAACAACAACCGAGTTACGGTGGTTACCCTCCACCACCTCCCGGGTACGGTGGCTATCCTCCTCAACAGGGGTATGGGTACCCGCCGGTGCAGCCACCACAACAGGCTAAGAAGAAAAACAAATTCGGTATGGGGTTGGGAGCTGGATTGCTGGGAGGTGCATTGGGAGGTTTGTTGATCGGAGATATGGTGTCGGATGCTGCTGACGGCGGCGGATGCGGTGGTGGTTGTGGCGGCGGCTGCGGTGGATTTTAATACATAAAAGGTTTGTATGTAGGATGAGTATCTCTCGTAAAGAAAGACTAAAAGGTGTGGATTGCCTTGTAATAATTGTGATTCCTATCATCAAAATAGGCTTTTTCTTGTATTTTTAAATTGTGTTCAATGATTTAAAAAAAAAAAAAAAAAAAAAAAAAACTAAATTACTTTTGTAACACAAGTCCCGTTGATAATTAACCAGGTTAGGAGAGGTAGGTTTGATCTTCGCCAAGGACAAATTTGTAAATTGCAGATATTGATGAAAATTTGTTCATTTACAAAAAACAGGTGACCAATTGTCTTGCTATTTTTTTTTTTTTTGTTTTCTACGCATAAATATATAATCTTACAATAACATCTAACTTTTTGAAATGGTTTTTTTTTTATCTTCATAAAATGTGTAAACTATATTAAATCAACAAATTAAAAGTGATTCCAGATCTAGAATATTTATGATATTATATAGATCAATAAAAAGTTATTTTTGTTTTTCTCAATGACTAATGAAATTTTCTTGAATTTCATTGACCATATATATTATATCTATTATTTTAAGACACCAAATAATATACTTCCCCCTAATGCCATAAGGATGTAGACAAAACAAAATTTGTTTACCTAAAAGCATCTCCAATAGTAAATCTATATCATAGGTCAAAAATATTGTCACACTCTAATTTTATTGATCTCTAATTAAATTGTTTCGTTCAAATTTTTATGACTTTTTTTGTAATTTAATTATTTTATTCTTATCTATCTAAAATATTATATGAAACCCCCTAGTTTAACTAATCCTATTTTAAACACATCATATTTTAATATAAACATTAATTCACATACAAACGATTTATATATTACTAGAATTTATATTTATATATTATATATTTGTTTATTTATAAATTTTAGATAAATAATAAATAAATCAAAGTAAATCAAAGGTAGAAAATGAAATATCTTTAAAGAGAAAGGGATTGATTGTTCAAACCTTTAAATTAGATTGACCATTCAATATTGGTCAATAAAAATAAACAAATAGGTCATGCACTCCAATGATGTTTAATTATTTTGACCACTTAAACAAATAACAATAAGCTATAAAAAAACCTATCATTGGAGATACTCTAAGGACTTAATATACAAAAAAGACTAAGGTGGTGTTTGTTTTTTGTCTGCAGAGCTGCGTGGCCTCTTCTGTCTGTGCCGTGCAGACCACGCGCAGACATTAGTCTTCGCAGACTGTTTGTTTTTTTAAGACGGCAGACCTAAAAATGTCTGTGCGCCCTCTTCTTGGCGCAGATGTGGAGCAGAGTCTTCTAGCATCTTCAGAAATCTTGTAGACTAAAAAAACACATATATCTATATTTTTTTAAAGTTTTTTTTAATTTATATTTTTTCCAACTTTACTAATGATAAAAAATTTGAAAAAAAAAATTTCAAAACTTAAAAAAAAAAACGTTCGACGATACAAACATATATTTTTGACAAATTTATAAATAAAGATTTATTACAATAATAGTCGTTGAAGTTGTTTATATAAATACGAAAAAAAATCATAATATATTCTTATATTTTTTTGCTAAATTTTTTAAAACATTATTTAATACACTATCGTCAATTTCTCAAGAAAATATTTATGTTATGTTTTTAATGGATTTGATTGAAAAAATCGAAGTTTATTTTCATCCATTTATGTATCAAATTTTTTGATCCTTAATTATAATGTTTAGTTATAATTTTGCAACCAAAGTTGTTGGTTTTATCAAATATATACGTTAATTCATACCATTTTTATTTTTATTTTTTATACAATAATACATAAAAGTTGATCTAGATTTGTTATTTATTTATAACAAAGTCATAAAAATATTAAAAAAAACACTTTGAAGTTTAAAAAAATCAGTTTATTTAGATTTCATTTATTTTAGTAGCCCGCAGATGTTAAAAAAACAAACAGTCTTCTTTTTTCAGATTGCAGACGTTTGGTCTACATCTTCTACTGCAGAGGTCCACAGATGTGGTCCGCAGACTGCATACATTTTGCTCAGAAAAAACTAACAGCACTTAACATAAGTCATTTTTAAAAAAATATAAATAGTTGATCGTTGAATTTCAATATTTTTATACTTAATTAATCTATAATTTATAATGAATTAATGTGTTTCTATAACTTACATAATTTTTTTATAGTAAATTGAAAATATTATTATATAAGTTGATAATTGAAGGACATTGGCATTTTTTATTAGAATCCAATAATATATGGTTGTCATTTGCTTACTTTGTGTATGATTATGGACAAAGGATAAAAAATGCCCAAGAATATACCCTGAGTATCATTTTGGTCATAGTGTTGCATCGTGCAAAGGCATCAAAGTCACAATGGTTGTTCACGTCACCCATGAGATCATATCGTAGATTCTCGACTGCATAACCAATGATTTGAAATTTAAATTCTAACCCGACCCGGCCTTTCATGATTTCAACTGAATCAACTCCCTAGTCTCCATTGGAACCTCCGGATTCTTCTACTCCAACCTGTTGAATAATGGAAAGATCATGAAATCTAACCACCGATTATTCATATTTTTCCAAAACCATGATTACTTGAATAAATTCTTTTTGCTATGATTATATATTATTGAAAATAAAATGTTAAATCGTATCATTTGGACATGTATAATCTCAAAGCCCATTATACATAATCCATCTCAATGCCCATTGCATAATAGCACTAATATTATTTTGACATGTCCTGGTTTGAATAGTAAACATTTTATGCACTGTTGTAAAATTCACCAAGTTGGTCAATTACTTGGCCGAGTATTTCTTACTCGGCTCCTTATCGATGCGAGTTATAAAATCCGAATACTTCTCGATCCACCCCTTACTGAAGCGAACAATGTTGTAAAACTCGGCCAACTCGGTGATTAATATATAATATACTTAATGATTTATTATTTAACACACATATATGTGATTATTACTACATATGTATCTTAAATTTTCAGTAATTATTAACGGAGTGAGACCATTATGCGTTTTTCAGTTTTTGTGTATTCACATGTATCTAATTTTCAACCAACTTATGATCTTAACTTATAAATTTGACATATAATTTCTCTAAAAATATTTCTACATGAATTACCGAATCCGCGTACTCTCCGAGTACTCACTACTCAACAGTCGGCCGAACATATGACGAGTAGCGAGTTCTACAACCTTGATTCTATGTGCAATTCCATACTTCAACCATTACAATTCAATCGTAAGAATCTTATTGCTTGGTTTAGTCGTTTTCATCTTAAGTTGACTTTTTATGTTACAAAATAGTCATTAAACCTTTTATAGGTTAATTATGTAATGAACTAAATATTTATAATTTTTCTAGTTTTTCTAGTTTTTTTTTTACTTTAAACCTGTTTTTTAGAAGCTGTCAAGAGCGGAATATTTTTTCAGTTTGACAAATTTAATCGATTTCTAGGTTAATTCTTGGTTTGTCCTACTTTCAAAATGGCCAACATTATTTAACAAAAGACCAAACATTATGAGATTTTTTAAGTGTAAACATAGTTACTATTTTATGGCATCTATGATGATTTGATGATAATTTTTTGGTGATTATGACGATGAGTTTATGGCGATTATGATGATTACGATCATTTGTATGCCTAAATGGTAAATATCTATTTTATGTTGACCCGTTTTCTACCCTCGATAAAAATACTTTTCATACAAAGAGTGTATAAAAATAGTGGTATAAGATTCCACCCTCAGTATAAATACTTTTGATACAAAGAACATATATCGTGATTATACCTTTTATACAAAAGTACTTTCAATACAAAAATAAAACATGTGAACCCATCAAGATTACGTTGACCCGTTTTTAAAATCACATGTATTCCTAGGGAATCAAAAAAATGAAAGCTTGCATTGTTGGAAATCAAGTCGTGAAGTTATCTATAAAGTAGTAATGTGTCTTATTATGTAAGCTTAATGTTTAAGGCATCAAACTAATGTGATTTTTGTTTCAATAATAGAATATTCACTCTTTATATCGTATTATTGTACTTTTCAATGTATGTTCAATGAATGTGATGCACTATGAACGTAGAATCGCCCAGTGTTTCCGCCATCGGCCGGGGGTGTGACAGACTGGTTTCAGAGCCATTGGCTATAGTGAACTAGTACTTTCTTAGGAAATTACGACTATAGCTTTAGGCTTACTACTCCGATTAGGTTTACCCCTTTAAACCTAATAAATAAAAGTATTATTATTAATTACACTACCGATAGACTACTTACGGGAAAGGTGTCTACGATGGACTTGTGGCCTTGGGTTGTTGGATTTCAGAACGGCTATACGCCAAAATGGTCATGCCTTCCGACTTTTCCTACATGGTTGATCATTACTTAATAGTATTGAAGTACAAAACAAAATTAATACAACGCACAAACAAACTTCATATAGAAAGCTATATATAAACATACATAATCCAAAGCAAGGTTTTAGGTCAAATACCTTGACAGAGTTATTGTACATGGACCAAACCACAATTAAACGTAGATTGATCACCTATGTTTAATTATGGTTATACCGATGCACAACCAAATTTGGACACAGTAGTTGATAGACTAAAACCCTTGGAGATATAGGCAATAAGATTTTCAAATTAAAAAACAAGGAAAAACATACATAAAAAGTATCAATATTACCCTATAAAAGAAAACTTACAAACTAGTCTAAATACATACCAATCATAACAAAATAAAAAAGATAAACGCATAACATATAATCATCCTCGGCGTCCTCGTCGCCCTCTTCATCACCATGTTACGTCCCAAACGTACCAGCTCCGTCTCCTGAGCGTGGAAATGTGGATAATCAACCCCATGGAAGCTAAGCATGTGGCCCAAAGCGCCAACTACCAACTGTTATCCCTTCTTAAGCTCCTGTTATCCTCTCCGCAACTCCTACTGCCCCCTCCCAAGAGCCC